AATGAAGTCTGTCTGCCAAGAGACCAGTTTCCTAGATCCCTGTTCCTTCTCACACCATCCCAACTCAGCCCCAGCAAGGCTGCCTTCACACAAACTCCGCCACCAGCAAACACCAAATGCTCCCGGTCTTTTACAGCCATCTCTGACATTTTTCCTTCCTTCTTCCATCCCCTGTGTGCTCTACCCCTTCTCAGGTCCCTAAACTGGCAGGTGAGAAAGGGAAAGCCTGTATTTATCAGGCAGCTAGCCAAGGAGAACAGATAAATCGTGAGCTCTCACTGCAGGGCCTCAGACTGTATTTGGCTGAAATCCACTGTGAAATTTAAGAACACGGGGAGGGAAAATGAGGAGAGAAATGACAAAAAACATAATCATACAAACCTCACCTCTACAAGAAACAAGTGAAGATAAGCACCAGCCAGATCATCTGGCTCATGGAAATAAGCCCGGGTGACAGGAGGACTCTCTAAGGAGCTTTTGCATCAAACTTCTTAGTCTACATCACAGGCTGGGTTTCTTTTTGCACTGTTCTCTCAGTAAGTTTCAGTTCCAGCTTTGCCGCTTGGTCACAGCGTCACTGGGCTGTTTGCTTCAGAGCCTGGATTTTCCCTTTTAAAACGTGTAGGTAACTACAACCCCAAAAAGTAATGACATTTCAGAGGACACATTAATGAAAGGTTTAGCAGCTGAACTACGTCGAAACCTAAACCTCGGTGACTGCTAACATTTTAATGCTCTGTGAGTACCACAAATGGAGCCCCAGAGCTCATGCTTGGCATTGTACAGAGCAGGAAGATGGCTAGTTAAAAGAAAAGCTGACAAAAAATAGGTTATTTCAGGGCAGATACGGTGTCTAGGTTTCTCCTGTGTCTAGGTTTGCTTCACAGTGGCTAATCGGAATAGCACCCAAAGAATAGGCTTACCCAGCAGCTCAGCCTGGTGCTGTAGTGATAAACTCCCCACAAGATTAGTTGGAAAAGCTGGACCTGATACTGCTCCTGTGAGAGCTGCAGACTCTGCTAAGAACAACTGTGTTTGATTTTCACACTTTGCACTAGTAGCTGCTGCAATTATAAACCTGAATTGTAGTAGGGGCCTGACCTCCTGACTTAACTGTAACAGTTGAAAATATTTACCTTACTTGGGCAAAAATCCTACAGAGCAGAAGAAAAAAGAAAAAAGAAAAAAGAGGAAGACATACACATAATATAGCTGTGACATAACCACAAGAATGACAGCAGAAGTGAGTGTTTAAACCCCATCATTTCCATGCTAGATTCTTTAGAAATATTCCAGAGTCTATCCCAGTAAGACTCTAAAGAAACAAACTGGGACAGAAGATCCAATTGAGTGTTTTCATTTTTGTTATAATAGTCAAAAACATCTCAGGAGAAGGAAAATCATGTTAACTGCTGGTGATTTTTAACTCAGCAGAAAACAAAAGCCTTAGCTTCTTTTAAAAATTAAAGAGAACGCACAGCTCAAACCAGAACGTTGTACATGGCTTCACACTGTGGGATTCAGCAGACTGCTGCATATCTTCTTTAGAAGGAAAGCATCCAAAAGTGAGCAGATGCAGCAGTCCGAAAATGTCTTGGAATATTCAAGACGTACAAATTGTCTTTTTCTCTCAGAAAAGATCTCGATTTGCTTTTCCTGTTGAAAGTCACCTACAGTAAAAGTGAATCATGAGAAAGGTAATACAAGAATCTGTTTCACTAGAGGAACAGGCACCATTTTGTGACAGTGTGCTGTCTGTTCCCTGCCTCTCTTTAGCTGAGAAATCTCTGTTGTGGTTCTTTCAAAACTGCGTCCTTACAGGAGGACATACATTCTCCCACCAGGCTGGCCAGCCAACACCAGGAGTAGGAGAGAGGAGCAGAAAACAGGGCATGACAGCGTGTCTGTGTTCTATCCTGTACCTGTAAAGCAAACCCAAACTCTACTGAAGACTTCATTACTATTAATTCATTGCACTTGAACTACTTAAGTTTTGTGTTCAAAGCATCAGGGCTGTGTTTGACATTTTAAAGGTACTGCTCATGTTGGTCGACTGTAGCAACTTTAAGCAAGCCTCAAAACAACCTCAAATACAGTTGTTTAGTTGCTATTTATTATACTTCATGGTTTTATTACAGTCCACAGTGCTCTTACCCTACAGACAGGAAGCCACAATATTGCAGCTAAACTTATATAGCTGGTCATCTTCATTTCCTTCTTGAATTTGGAAAGTAGCCAAAGCAGTAAAAGTCAGCAAGAAACCCTCATCCACACAGGCTGATGTCGCAGTGTGCTAACTGCTACAGGCCATAAACTACCTGAAGCTCCTTGAGGAGGAGTTTAGTCATGTAAAACTGATTCTAAGAGGTGAGAACCACCAGCAAGTTCACGTGCGTAACGTTCCTTCATACGAATAAGCCTTCTGAGTCATCCTCTCATGTGTGGCAGATACACGCTCTCAAATGCAGATTCCTACACGTGTCAGATGATACAGAATAGATTCACAGAAAAAAAAAAAAGACATTTAGGGTACAAAAAAATCACTTAGGTTCTACAGACAAAGCTCTTTCTCTAGTGTTTCACAGCACACAGTGAAGAGTAAGAACAACCACCCAGGCTACATGTGCATCAATACTTTAGCTTGGCACCATCACTTAGCTGCACTCTGCTCCATACTACCTGCTTGCATTTAACTTTTACCACTTAGCAGCTGGTAAGCTCTTGATCAGTTTGTAGGATGTTATACATTAAATATTAGATATATTAGGACTAAAATCTTTCTAAACACAAAGAAGGAAATGTTGCAATTACAGCTGTAAGGACAGTGACATTTTACTGTCATTACGTTTATGTGCCAGGCATCACATTTTCCTTAGCCAACAGATAGCCCACTATGCTACCTCTATGAGACGAAAATCTTCCACTTGGTATCTTCCCAAGAACCTTGCTGTCTTCATAGATGAGATGACAATAGCAGGGGCACATCTGAAATCCTTGGGTTTTAATGTGCACTGAACTGCTAGGAAACTGTTTAACTGGAAAGGTCACAGGAGACAGCCTATCTTCTAGCGTATCTCTAGTTAAATGTCACCTTTTCAGTGATGCTCTTTTCAGAGGTTACATAAAAGGCAGACAGTCACATTTCAGTGATACAAACATCTACCACCTGCCTCCAAAAGGTAAAGCTTATATCCTCCAGCTGTACAGCAGAAACGCCATTTGTAGCTGTGGGAGGTACAAGACCAGGCTGCACACTCTGCTCCTCTCTTCTGTAGCCACACACCAATCAGAGCTAGAAGTAAACTTGTCACCTAGCAAAAATGAGGCATTCTGAAATTTGTTGTTATTTTGGTTGGCTGCTTTTTACCCTGAAACTGAAAAGCGTGCATAAACCCAAAGATGCTCAATTTTGAACAGCAAATCTGTGTCAGTGACATGGACAGTGGCACTGAGTGCACCCTCAGCAAGTTTGCCGATGACACCAAGCTGTGTGGTTCGGTTGATATGCTGGAGGGAAGGAATGCCATCCAGAGGGACCTTGACACGCTTGTGAGGTGGGCTGATGCCAACCTCATGAGGTTTAACCATGACAAGTGCAAGGTCCTACACCTGGGTCGGAGCAATCCCAGGCACAGCTACAGGTTGGGCAGAGAAGAGATTCAGAGCAGCCCTGCGGAGAAGGACTTGGGGGTGTTGGTTGATGAGAAAATGAACATGAGCCAGCTGCAGTGTGCGCTGGCAGCCCAGAAAGCCAACCGTATCCTGGGCTGCATCAAAAGGAGTGTGACCAGCAGGTCAAAGGAGGTGATCCTGCCCCTCTACTCTGCTCTTGTGAGACCTCACCTGGAGTATCGTGTGCAGTTCTGGGGTCCTCAACATAAAAAGGACATGGAACTGTTGGAACAAGTCCAGAGGAGGGCCACAAGGATGACCAGGGGACTGGAGCACCTCCTGTATGAAGACAGGCTGAGAAAGTTGGGGCTGCTCAGCCTGGAGAAGAGAAGGTTGCATGGAGACCTCATAGCAGCCTTCCAGTATCTGAAGGGGACCTTATAGGGATGCTGGGGAGGGACTCTTCTTTAGGGACTGTAGTGACAGGATAAGGGGCAATGGGTTAAAACTTAAACAGGGGAAGTTTAGATTGGATATAAGGAGGAAATTCTTTCCTGTCAGGGTGGTGAGGCACAGGAATGGGTTGCACAGGGAAGCTGTGAATGCTCCATCCCTGGCAGTGTTCAAGGTCAGGTTGGATGAAGCCTTGGGCGAGATGGTTTAGTGTGAGGTGTCCATGCCCATGGCAGGGGGGTTGGAACTTGATGATCTTAAGGTCCTTTCCAACCCTAACGATTCTATGATTCTCTGAAATTGAATTCAGTCTCCCACATCCCAAATTAACATCCTAAACCTTGGTGCACTGTAGTGCAAATGCATGTATGGGCGATCTTTGCTCCTTCTCCTCTGCAGCAACAATCTTGACTAGTTACACTTTCTCGGTGTCAAATCCAGTATATGCACTGGAACAGATTTTGCTCTGATAAACTAGTATTTTCCAAAACTAAACAAAATTTCAGCCCTAAACTTACTGTGTTGCTAGGACTGCTTGTAAAGAACAACTTGAAATCAGAGCTCAGCTTTTCTATTCATATTATTACTGTTTCACTATTTTCCATGAATGGATTATGGCTCGTTTATTCCTTTGGCAGAGGGAGGGGGAGGAAAGGGGGAAAAGGGAAATCTTTGTATTCCTTATTGTCTCTTGCTGTATCCATTTCAAAGACTTCGTCATATTCTAATGTAAATCCCTGGAGCTTCTCACTGTTAGTACTACTCCTAGTTAAGCAAAAGAAGAGTAAATACCAGTCTCAGGACTTTGTGATAATCATTTCCTATAACCCCTGCCCATTTCTGTCTCAGGGATGAAACCAAGAGGTTTACTATCCACAGAGTACAAGGGAAAAAACGAAATGCAACAAGTTTTTATCATTTTATTTACTTTAACAAAACCTGCAAATTATAAAGCTGCTCGGAAAAGATTCAGATACACATTGAAATGCCAACTGAGAATATTTAAACAAACTATGTACAACTGTGTCAGTCATCAACTGCTGAACACTAATCAATGTAATCCAGATCTTCTGGGATTCCAAAACCTTTGTCAATTCTGCTCTCTTCAAATCCAAATTTACGTTTGGCCCAGGACTTTATTGAGAAGATATTGTCTGTAAACAGAATGAAAAAGATCCAGTTTTGAGTATTTAAGGGAAGCATGAATTAGTTTTGGCTACAACAAAATCCTTCCATTTGCATTATGTCTGTATAGATGAAAAAGGTACATAATGGGGAATATCATTATTAAGTAGATTTAGAACAGAAAACAGGAGGCTTTTGTTAATGACATCCTTTTACTCGATACTGAGTAAAATAAGTCTTCCTTTTTTTTGGAGGTTCCCTTAATCTTTCCTTGCTTCTTTCTTATGGGAAGACTGAAAGGCACAATTACAGTGTAAGCCTGCTGTAGAGTGATGAGCTAAGTGTGAATATGCATAATAAGTATTTCTTATGTCCCTTTTCAACTAGACACCTGCTGTGTGGCTGTCTACAACTGTGAAAAGATTCAAATTAACTACAAGGTCCATTCTAGTCCTGCTTGTGTTTGCTCAGATAACACACATTTTGCCTGAAAGTTAAAAAGAAAAAAAGTAGCTTTATTTTAGTCAGCACTTCTTTTTAGCATCGCATGACTATTATTTTAGCATATACAGTCTTTTCAATTTAACATTATTTTTCACTGCAGTATTGATTGAAACTCACTACGTCATTCCTAACACCCATAAATTACAGCATTCATTAAAGACAGGAAGTGTTCTCTGTGCCTACACACCTTAGAAATATTTTCTTGTCTTTAACCAGACATTTGGTTTTAAAACTGTCTCATGAGAAGAGAAATATGCTGCAGCACATAACCTAATTGTCTAATTAAACAGCAAAAGCACTTTCTACAGGCTGAGGCATAGTTCCTTTACCTCTCTCAAGACCTTGAGAACAGCCTGTCATCAACAGCAGAAAGCCCTCACAACAGTACTCCCAAAAGTAATTTTCAAATACATAACTTCATTTCCTCATATGCAGTAAAAAACCCAGTGCAAATGAAGTTATAAAATAGTAATAGTCAAAAGACTATGACAATGATATCCTACTGCACTTGGCATAACCAATGAGGGTGAGCAGTCTATCAGTAGTAGATGAATTCTAACCGAAAAATTAAAATTATATTCTAAATAATTAAAAAAGACATACGTATTGCTTGCTCTGCAAAATGGAAACATATAGCAATATAGCAAAGCTAAGCAAAAAACAGAAGATTGAGTTAAACTTCCATGAAAATGTTACCACAGTAACCTTCCTAAAAACCATGCAGCATTTTTCCAACTTGTCAAAGCCGACAAATTAGTATGAGAAATACCTATGTTATATTAGCATCCATCATATGATAGCAGCACTAAGGTTCCACAAAACATTCTACTTTTTAGAAACAGACAAAAACTCAAAACAGGAGAATTAAACTTCTGAATACCTGGACACAGCTATTTCCAGTCTCTTTCTATTAATGTTTTCCTGATGTTAAGAGATTACAACTCAATCAAGAAAACAAATTGTAGGTCTTAACGCAGTGTGCAAGACTGCACCAGAAGAACAAATCCATTATGTGATGTGAAGTACATTCAGTAACTAAACTGAGAAAATGTACTCTTCGTCTGAACCGTGATCATTTACAAGTAAAATATATTCCTGCATGCTTTTGTAAGCGAGGTCTATCCTGCATCAGGTCCAAATCTAGTTTAGAATTCTTATCAATGAGTAGGTCTTTTACTGAAATTGCTCTAGTCTGAAGCTGTGTTAAGCAATGTAAGTGCATACCCACCAGTCCATCTGTTGGCTGCCTCCTTGGCTACTTTGTTTGTTTGGCCTGAAATAGAGAAGAAAACCACAACAAAATATCATACATCACAGTAAAATCATACCATAGTGGCAAGGCACAAAGATTAGATTTTTATTGATGTAATTTTTAGGGAACCACACAATATAAGGGAGTTTTTCCACTGCTTCCAAACCCTTCTTCTATTTTATAATTTTAACATTCCAGCAAGGACAGACTGAAGTTAAAGAAAAACAGGAGCAAAGGAACATAAAAGATACCATATGAACAAGTGTGAGTTTTTGAAGTGTATTTTAAAATGAAATAATCCTGGTTTGGTTTGCCTGAGGCCTTAATCGTCTGTACCAAGATTGGAACTAGATACATGGCCTGAAGATATTAAAGGCAACAGAGACGGAAAATATTTTATAATCCTCTCTATACATAAGTAACCCATCACATAGGTATGCATGACTTTATAGATAAGGAAAAGGGTAACAGCCGATCACATTAATCCAAAAGCTTATCATATCACTCTGGAAGGTTTCCCGGGCTTTTAAGAACTGCCTCAATGAAAGGAAGAGAAAGTAGTGTTCCTGGTTATTAAACTTGGCTTCCTTCCCTTACCATTGCTCTAGAGAAAAATGCATATTAGTAAAATGCCATCACTACAAATAGCTTTTCTATAGTTTCCATGAGGCAAAGCAGCATCAAGAAAAATTCCTCTTAGATCACCTTGCTCCCATTAAAGTAAGTACTGAAGCAAATCAAACAGGTTGGTTTGTAACGTGGGAATTTATCAGAATCATTATGGTTCTCACGCCTACACATAGCTTAGTTATTCCCACTTGGTCTTGTTACTACTTGCATGATAATACTCATTTGAATGGTCAGCATGAAATCTGTCTCCAGGGTACTGAGAAGTGAATATATGATCAGCTATCTATTGTTATAAAGATTATACTTCAGGCAAAATGAAATTATGTTGAAAAATCATTTGCCAGCACACAGGAAGGCAAACAGTCATTATTCCGCCCTTAATACATCAGTAACTGATGTGAAAAATATTTAAAACAGTAAAATACCATTTCAAAACCAGTGGAGCTTCTAGAAAAGGCCTATAATTATAGGCACAGTGTGAAGTGAAAAAGATGGGAAGGAAAAAAAAAGGGAGTGGATAAGACTGCATTTTTGCTTGCTTGCATACATCAGAAATTCAAGTTATTCCTGCCTTGAGAGATACTCCTTATTTTCCTTTGCTGACTGCTTGTTGCCACCCCCACTTGTTCAGTCCCATGACTGGCAGCATTGACAGCATACTGACAGCCAATGGCATTTTGAACAGAACTTTACCTAACGCTACTGAAAGCAAGTCTGCAGAGTAACAGCTTTCAGCAGTCAAGATTTTACATGTGTTAGCAATAATACTTCCCTCAGCATTTTCCTGAACTCTGAAGTAAAACTGTAAAGCTTTATCTGACTCCAAGTACTGAAGTTTGAAACAAAGCTATGGGGGAGATATAGGACAGTATTAAACTCCGTAGATCCAGAGCTGCAAGGTGACAGCAGCTTGATGATGGGTGAGCCAGCCTAGTCCACAGCATCCACCAGGTCTCAGTGGAAAACTCTGTTTTGCTGGAAGCAGCTAACCAGCTAAGCTTCTGCATCACACAGCAGCTCTCGGCTTCTGCAGCTTTCAGCACATAGCCCTATGCTTAAAGCCCAGTGACCAGACAGTATGGTGCTTTAAAAAGAAAAACAATAGTGGCAACATGGTAAATTGTCACCCTTTAAATACTGCTTATGCATGTTAAATTGTGTGTTTTGATGATGGTCACGTTTCATGTGATCATGTGTTTTTAAAAATGTGACTTTTTATGTCTGTCAAAGAAAAGGTTGGGGTGATCAACAGATACGGGCTGGGCAACAGGGTGATTAGAATGGCAGGGGCTTCTTATAACCGAGTTGTGGCTAGAAGTGAGATAATGGTAGCAAGAGCAGGAAGCTATAATGGGAAAATCCTGCAGCGGGCAGTGCCTTCAATGACTTAAATAGCAGAGAAATAACAAAAAACAAAAAAACCCTGAACAGAATGAACTGCTGAGATAGAAGTTATAAAAACTAAAAGAAGAACTATTTTAACCTTCTCATTCTCTCCATGCACCACCTGGGACTGATCACAGACTGGCAGCAAAGTGTCATGGTAGAAGTGTGGAAGGATCACAAGCGGAGGCAGAACTTCAGAATGGGGAAGGTGATGTTCAAACAATCTGGTTGAATATCAAAGAAGAGGCTGCCTTAGAGACTGGTAACACGCATCCCCCACGTTACTCTGCTGCCAGGGGCCTCAGAGCTGGGGAAATGAGGACTTACAAAGCCTCGGGCACACAGCATCTCCAGGAAATGCATTCACAAGAGGCTGAGGCGTTTGCTGCTTGCTATTTCCCATTTACCCCACACACCCCATGTATGTGATAGCACCATGGGGATGCACGTATGGATGTACTCTGCCATGCTGACAGTTGCTTAGACTATCAGGCATGTATTAACAGCAACACCAGCTAGCCTGGCAAGCTGCAAGACACCTTCTTGCACCTTCTCTTGTCATCAGGTGGGACAGTCACTGCCACTGCTGCAGGATGGCACTGCACTCTGCTTAACCACCGCTTCCTTCACTTAAATTTTCTCTTCATATTCCTTTTTCAATCTGGGGTGGGGGAAACACATCATCCATCTCCAGAAACTACTATGTCATCACCCCAGCTGTTGCCTCATAGCTATGGGCCAAGCATTTAGCTATCTGAAGACAAGATTTAAGTTCCCTGGGGTCAGGCTCAACCCTTACCTATGGTCCCACTGCAGGATCTTTTCTGCCTGCTGTATCCAACACCATGCCTGAAAGATGAAGGACAGACAGGTATTGGTAGTTATGGACCTTCATCACCTGAAGGCACCAGCTAAATCTGCCTCATTGTCAACATCTTCCAGAAATGCCTGACTCTACCACAAGAACTGACAGACATGAAGGCATCTGCCCACTACCTACTTTCTAGAAGCCTTTTATAGTTGCTTGTTTGGACTTTCATTGGTTTCATCATCTATAAGTGCCTGTGCATGGAGGGTGAGGAAAAGATGAAGGAGTAAAACAGCCATCCCCAGATGCTCCTTTTTTATTAACTGCTATAGCTCAAAGACATGCTACTTCCAATTGCTTATTCTCTAGCTCCACAGCACCACACAGCCATTGGCCTCCTGGTTTTTAGACTGCATTAAATAAGACAGTTTAAGATCTAAAGATGATAATAGCATAGGAACTTAAATATACATATACCAAAGAAAAATCAGGACACAAGCTGTGTGAACTGTAAAAAGTAGAGACATATTAACACAACCTTTGGGTCCTGAGCTTGGCTGGAACCCTGCTGGTCTTCCTGGTGACCAGAGCTGCTCTATCAGAGCTTGATTTCTGACAGCTACTCAATAATGTTCCAGTACCAAAGCTGTGCAAGGCAATGAAAGGGTCAAATATGCAGAAAAGGTGAGCAATACAGGAGGCAACATATGATCCAGATGCTTCCAGATGTTCTCATTACCACTATTAGGCCCTAGTTAATTCTGTAGCTTTACATCTGCACAAAAGCAGACAATATATACAACTGGTATATAATCCATTGTTCTGAATGTTATGTAGTTATTCCACCAATTTGTGTGATAATGCATCAATAGGCTTTCCTGATCCCATGTGTGCAGAATACAAGTCATTCACATGGCTGAGGCACACACCTGTATCCTTTACTAACTAATTTCAGGCACAGTTAGCATTTTCAGAGCAGGAAAATAGAAGCTTGCATTTTCTCTCCTAAACTGAAAAAAAGCAACCACTGTGAGTACAGCAATGCAAAGCCCAGGAGCAGCATTGCTTGCAACACTGGCATGTTATGTTAGCAAAATCAGGAAATGTGCCTTAAATGGTGAAAGGCTAAGAGTCAAAGAGTTAGAACTGACCAGTCTTTATGGAAGTTTCTTCTGCCCTGAACCCCAGGCTACCTCGGGGGAACTGTGGGGAACTCAAGAAGCCCAGATTCTGGGCTTTTTCCTAAGAACAGAGCCATTTTCCTAGGCATCTGTGATTGTCCTTACCACAGAGACAATCCTCCGTACCCCCTTACAGGAAAGCAAAGGTATGGAAAGGAAGGTCCAGCAGCAATGAATGTCTAAAAATAAAGTGAGGGAGGGTTAAAAACATGCTTTCTAATGCAGGCAAGTGACATTCTACCAGTGACCTGCTGGGATTTGGGAGCAGATCAGGAGACAGAGCTGACAAAAGGGCATGTGGACAGCTATAGGAGGTGCAGTAGGAACCCTTTTAAAGCAAATGGACATACCTGGTCAGGGGCAAAGGCCAGCAGCACAAAACATTAACACTGCAGTATTTCTGAACAAATCTGAACTGGCAATACATATTGGCTCAAATCTTAACACAGGAAGGCCACATTTTTCCTGATCTGACTCAGGGAGACCTACAATCATTCTCTGCATACTGCAGAACTACAGCCTCCTCTTTCCTCTTTTCCTTCTTCCTTTCCCCCAGATTTGCTCACTTTGTTCCTGGAAGGGGGTGGTGATGGTGGTGGTGGAATTAAAGGTCTTATTTGCATTCCAAAATGGAATGGCAAAAGCCTGTTGAAGCCTCAAATACTTCCACAGGGATAAGACCGCTACATGTTTTATCAAGACAATATACATGTAGTTAAGGAGAATAAGACTAGATAGACTAAGTTAGTCTTTCTGTTAGACTTTGGCCACTTCTATGGGTAAACAACAATTATGGTAGCCACAACCACCACCATTTCCTCAAAAACATTTTTAAACCTACTTTTAGGTTCTTTCTAAAAGCTTAAGTCCTGCACGTATCATTAAAGGAATACTAAAGAAACAGTTACTGAATAGGATTCAAAATAAAACAATCAAAGGTAACACATTACAGCTCCAATAGCTGTATAATAAATAGATGAATAAATAACTCTCAACAGCCAGAACGTGCTCCCATT